GTGAAAGAGTAGTCTTTGGAGCATTTATGAGAAGTGCAGTGAAAAGCCATCACAACAAAACCATCCCAGGTACCTACAGAAGGAAGAAAATGAATGGTGTCAAACGGATCTTTGTTGTATCTTTGGGATACTGCTATGACTCTGCCCTTTCCATTATGATCAGATTATACACTCTCCTGTACTGCTAAGTACTATCTCACATTGCTGCACCAAGCAGTAGCTTCTAGTGTTCAACTTTGCAGTGGCATTTAACAAAACACAGGAACAATTGCCCTCTAGTACTCTGACGTTTATATTACTAATCTCAGGTCTCTGAGGAGGAACTAAATTGTCTGTTTCTATAAAGTCTGAACATTTTTCCTCCTCTTTCAAAGAATCTGTTTCAGGGGGATTGGAAAGCAGAAAGACGTGATAAGGGAATATTAGGAGTATCTTAAGCCATTCAGAAACGGTAAACTTTTACTGAATTTCATTAGTGTTCATAAACAGCAAAAATAAATTATTTGTAGGTTAGTATGGATAAAAAAAACCCCAATAAAATAAATATAATAATAAACAACTACATTAAATCAACCTGTCATGGTTGATTATATATTTCCTACCTGTTCTATGTAAAATTTTGTATATATTGTGTATTGATATTGTTTTTGTATTTTATTGTACCATAATGTATCAATGCAATGTTTTGTGGACCCAGGACATACTTGAAAACAAGAGAAATCTCAATGTATCTTTCCTGGTAAAATATTTTATAAATAAATAAACATTGATAATCCTATACCTTGTTTTTTTTTTTCCTGTGATGATCCACTCCCTTTGAAATGTATATTAACGATTTAAGAACGGATACCATAAATCCAGGCACAGTCAAGGCACACGTTGCATTGGAGGAGGAAAAACAGAAATGTTCTATGCCAATTGCCAGATGTACAGTGTAGAGCTTTTGACAAGCATATAAAGCCACGGTAGCGGTAAACACAGCATTGTGAATTTCCACGCGTAATTTTATACTTCAAACATCACTAACACAAATGTGTTAAACATAGGGGGTAAGTAAATAAAATATCTTGGAACAGGATTGCCATCAGGGCATGACAACCATGACTCTCTTCAACTTGTGCGAGCCCCCAGCCATCAGAGCTTTACCGTGGGTAGTCGGGTAAGAGGCATGGAGGGAGGAAATAAAATAAAAAAAATATATATTTTTTAAATGTTTAAACGCAGCCTCCATTCCTACCCCCACATATTTACACACTGCATACCACTACACAAACTCCACCCACTACACAAACACACTGCTCTGTAGAGAGCCTCAGGCGGCTGCAGCTTTGCCCGGGTGGTGCGTCCATGAGGGCGGAACGCACCGCCCGGGCGCAGCCTGAGGAGAGGGGCTGATAGGAGGGAAGCACTCAGTGCTCCCTCCTGTCACTCCCTCTGTTGTGAAGTACGTAGCCCCCAGAAGATGTTGGTCCGGACCGGTACAAGTGAGTGCTGTCTCCCTGTACCCGCCGGACTAACAGGAAGCCACGAGTGGGGGAGTAGTTAGAAATTGGGAGGGGAGGGGGTAAAATTGGGAGGAGGGGTGAGAAGAAATTGTGAGGGGGGAAGAAACTGTGAGGGAGGGGGGGAGAAGCTGTTCAGGAGGCAGAAGAAAATTGTGAGGGGAGGGGGGAGGGAAACGGCAGGGGAGAAGAAGAAATTGGCAGGGGAGGGGGAGAAGAAATTGTGAGGGGGGAGGAAACAGAGGAGGGGTAAAGAAATTGCAGGGGAGAAGAAATTGGGAGGGGAGGGGGGAGAAGAAGAAATTGACAGGGGGAAGAAGAAGAAATTGGTGGGGGGGAGAAGAAATTGACGGGGGTGAGAGTGACAGGGGAGGGAGGGGCAATGAGAGTGGGAATGGGGAGGGGAGAAGAGAGTGACAAGGGAGGGGGGAGAGAGTGACATCCATCACACACACATGCAATGCACCCCTTGCACACAGAAAAACACACAATGCATTACACACACAGACACACACACATACACACACACACACACAAACAATGCAACCCTTACACACAATGCATTCCTTACATACACAGAAACACACAATGCATTCCTTACACACACTCAATGCACCCCTTACACACGCACACACTGCATCCTGTACATACACAGAAACACACCTTGCAGCCCTTACACATACAAACACAGATTCACACAATGCATTCCTTACACACATATCAGGACATCCCCTACACACTCCACCCTCTGTGAACAAACTCATTGGTGGAACATGAAGGTGGACCCTGGGACCCCGACCTTGAGCTGTGTAAAGAGCCCCCCAAAAATGGAGCTGCTTCCCGTTCTCCCAGAATATTGATTTTTGTGACCACAGTTACAAACAGCCTCCAGAGAGCCTGTTCTACACCAGACCAGTGGAGCCAGACTGCAGCTAGAGCCCATCATCATCCTGATCTCATTGTAAGTAGGCAATCTAGTATATTATTCATGGCACTAATCTCTAATTTACCTCACATTAAAGAAACACTATAGTCCCCAGAACCACTGCAGCTTAATGTAGTTGTTCTGGTGTCTATAGCCTGTCCCTGCATGCCTTATAATGTAAACACGGCGGCACTGCAGCACTGGCGTTAGTTAACATGGCAGATCATATGGGTGGAGCATTGTGATGTCACATAGGGGGGGGGGGGCGGCAAACTTTACTTTTGCCTAGGGCGCCAAGAATCCTTGCACCGGCCCTGCACATATGAGTCAGACTGTCAGTATTGCAAACCCTAAATGAAGACTCTGCTTTCAGTTTATGTATACACCCCTAGACAACCGTGCTATACAAACACAATAAATCTTCAAAAGCTTATTAATATTATATCTGTGTGGTACACAAAGAGGGGTTCACAAAGAGGGGGTGTGAGTTATGTAATCTCGACCTGCATATGGAATATGCTTCCTCCTTGTTCACTTTTGGTCAAACTGTTGGTCTGTGACTGGCCCTCTTTGACCCCAACTGAATTTCTTGGGAAGAATTATGAGAAAAATACAGCAGGTTGTTTTGAAATAAAGAAAGAAGTTGTATCAATCACAGGGTTTACAGCATTGTGACCCTAAGCAGACTAGACAAAGAAATTTGGGAGGTGATAGGAGATTGAATCAGAAACGTTTTGGAGGCAGAGGTAGAGGATTTGATCAAAGGGTCTAACTTTTGTAGAGGTGGCAACTTCAGCACTGTTTTAATCATGGATAGCAGGGGTTCACCCCAAGGTGCTCGTGGTGAACCCGGTTCTCCCGGTCGAGATGACAGCACTGGTACTCCTGGTATTGCTGGTGCCCATGGCTTCCCTGGTGCCTGTGGTGCTCCTGGACCTCAAGGCCCCGGAGGTTCCCCTGGTAACAATGGTGAACCTGGTGCTCAAGGAAACAAAGGAGAACCCGGTGCTAAGGGAGAACCTGGCCCAGCTGGCGTTCAAGGACCCACCCTGGCAGGTTCCTCAATACCAACCACAGCTTCTAACTTATACCCACACCAAACAACCCCAGCCTAATACACAGATGGTTCATGTTTTTAATACTTTATATATAGTTTTGAGTGATAAAACAGTATTAATGCTGGCTCTTAGAGGATGTACAAGCTGAAGTTGGGATCTAGACATTGTTTGCATAGGCTGCGCAATGTGAAAAAACTAAAATAAAATAGGATAATAATAAGTATGCTTAGTCAATTTGTAACGTGGTATCATAGAGGCATCTGCAATAAAATTTTCCAAGACCTGACAAGTGAAGACTATTTAATATAACATATGTCTACAGTTTGCTGTCCCTTCTTTATCAGAGGCTACTTGCAACCTTAACACAGCAAGACAAGTCTTCCAAAACCTGTTTTAAACAAAGCACTTTAGAACAATAGTCATTCATTTTGTTTCTCCTATTTCATTCCTAGCTGTTCTGAAAAAAAATATTGTTTGAGTGGGATAACTGTACAGTATTAAAACATGATCACACACATACAGAACTGGTGGCTTTTTGGACATCGGGATCTATAAAAGGTTTCAGTTTCCAAAGATGTTATCAGGGTCCACAAAATTTCTGACAGACTTCAGCATTTAAATTTTATTAAAGTAATTAATTGAGATTATCAAATTAAGGTTTAAGTTTAAGAACAGCATTTTATTGGGAAATATTCCAATATGTATATGTTAGTGGTTTAGTACTTAACAAGCATTTATATAGAATGAGTGCTTCTCTCATCCATACAAAGGCATTCTAAAGGGAAATTATGTATTAAAATTTAATAAAGGACAAATTCAATGAATTATAAGCAAAACTGAGAGAAGTACATGTTACACTAGTTAAGAGTTTAACTTTAGTCTCTAATTTGAGTTTAGCCTAGATAATTCATTTATTGATGTCGGACTGATGCTTGTGTTTGTGTGATTATGGAGACTGTACTAGAGTATTTGTGCCGCCTGATATTTGGGACTACACACCAATCTCTCTGGCTGACCTACCTGCCTACCTACCTTTTTTGCAATTAAATCTGTTTGGTCAAAATCCATGCTGGCCGAAGAAACTGACATGATTACTTATGAGGACATAAACTAACTTGGAAAGTCTTGAATGTGCAGTGCTGTCTAATGCCGCTATTTCTGTATTACTGTGACGAGACCAATCTCACCACATTGCATTGCAGAAGCCTGGTTGCTCGCCTGTTGCCTTTGGATTATGGCCCCCATGTTAAAAGGCTTGAGCTATCTGGGGATATGTTGAATGTACAGTTATGTACAGTTATATGTTTTTATGTGTTTTATTGTCTTTTGCTGCCATGTGTTCAATGGAGTTTTGCCTCTGTCCTTGGAGATAATTGGATTACTTCCCAATTATCTCCAGGATAGAAGACTCTGTGGAACTGGTTCTTTTATCTTTTGAACCATTGGACCAATTTGTATGTATTTGACGTATGTTTGTATTTGGAGTATGCTGATTCTGAAAATGTAAGTTTTATGTGAATGTGATGCATACTTTTCAAGTTATGAATAATGTGGAAAAATTGTATTTCTCTGCTTGTGATAATTACATTACCCATTGTGTAAGATAATTGAATCATAGGCAGAGGGGAGGAATTTGTGTGGGAGTGTCTGAGTGTATTGTATGTGTTTATTGGTTGTGTTCCAAAACCCTGTAGGTGGTACTAATGTGTATATAAGAACAATAAACCCACAGCTCTGTCTGTTCACTGCTTGATCCTCAACACGGAGCTTTGTCTCGTTCTTGGGGGGGATTTATTGTATGCTGTTCCAGTTCGACTGCTAGGAGTGTAAACCTCTTCGTATGGTTTTTCCTATTTGGCTGTTTACTGCATTCATATGGTTTCCTGTTTGGCGGATCGGTGTTCTGCAGTAGCTGTGCCTGTGTGTCTGGAAGGGAAGATCTACTAAATGGCGGTTTAACCCTTTTATGCTTTGGGGTGCCGTTACAATTACCCTTTCAACAATCGGGGTGTTGCACAGAGCATTGTGGTGAACATCCAGCAAACAGAAGAATAAAGAACTATGTGGAAGCTGACATTGTCTTGTTGTCAGCCATATTGTTACCCTTAGCTATGTTATGGTGTCTAAGATTATGGAACAAAGTTTATGGTGTCTGAGATTCTTTATACTCTTTGAAAGACTTTTCTGGACTATGCTGGACTATTGAACTATTTTGTTATTTGTATTGTTTGTAGAGTTAGCCAGAGAGACAGGAAGTGTTAGCTTACTCAGGCATGGATGTACTCAGGGCCGGATTAACATAGGGGCTGATGGAGCTGCAGCTCAAAATCAGCTGAAGCTCAAGGCCCAGGCCTAGGCCCATGGAATAGGCCCATTGATTTAAAAAAAAAAAAATTAAAAAAAAAATTAAAAAAAATTTACATTTTTTTTTTTCACACACTACTCTTAGGGATTCAACCTGGCTTTTATTTTATTGGCACAGTCAGTATTTGAGGCTGCCTGGCTGGTGCCAATATTGCAGTGATATTGGCAATACCAATGCTGGTATTTTTCTAAGTATAAACAAGAGATTACTATGCAACACCAGCACTGGCCAGTAGGGGTCGCTGTGTGTGGAGACAGGCAGGGATAGGAAGTTCCAGCATGTCCCTCCCTGCCTATCTATACTCACTGATTGGCAGGGGTGCAGCTACAGAGTGTCCAGACAGCAACTCCCACCCTGCAGAGACAGCCTACAGCTCAGGGAAGTAAGGGATGGGGGAAAGGCTGCAAGGAGACATACACTGAGACACTAAGGGACACTGGGAGACATTATGGCAGACACCGAGACACTAAGGGACATTGGGAGATATTATGACACAGACACATGGGGACACAGTGTCCCCATGTCTCCCAGCCAGTGTCCCTGGTTTCTCGGTGCCCCCTAGTCTCCCAGTGTCTCACTGTCCCCATGTCTCCTAGTGCCTCCATGTCTCTCAGTGCCTCAAGTGTCTCAATGTCCCCATGTCTCCAAGCTAGTGTCCCTAGTGTCTGTGGCAGTGGTATCTCAGTGTTCCCATGTCTCCCAGTGCCCCCATGTCTCAATGTCCCCATGTCCCCCAGCCAGTGTCTCTAGTGTCTGTGTCCCCATGTCTTCAAGTGTCCCCTATTATCCCAGTGTCCCAGTCAGTGTTCCCTAGTTTCCCAGTGTCACTGGTGTCTCTGTGTCCCTAGGTCTTCCCGTGTCCCCAGGTCTCCCCATCTTCCTAGTGTCCTAGTGACACATACATGGGGACATAGACACATGGGAATACTGGAGGACACAGGGAGACATGGGGCATTGAGACACTGTGATACATAGGGTCACTGGGAGACCTGGGGACACTGGGAGACATGGGGCACTGAGACACTGATACATAGGAACGCTGTGACCTGGAGTAATCAACACATGGGGGCACTGGGAAACATGGGGGCACTAGGAGGATCCATCTATACAACATAATCAAACTAAGTAGTTGTTTGGTGATTTTACAGCATTTTCTCTTATGTCACTCCTTGTGATTTACATCATGTGATGTCACCCATACATATTTAATTATGCAAATTAGTAAGGCCGGTATGTTTTTCCCAGTAAGATGGCAACCCTAACTACTTTTCACATACTCTTACTTAAGTATGGAAACTTAAGAGGGATGTATGGGAACAAAACTTGTGTGGACTGGCTGACAATGAATATAGTTAACACTATAGTCACAAGAACAACTA